CCCTGGTCCTGGAAGATCCCACATGCTGCAGAGCAACTAAGCCCGTGCGCCAGAACTATTGAGCCCACGTGCCACAACTACTGAAGCCCACGCGCTCGGAGCCCGTGTTCCGTAACAAGAAGCCACCACAATGAGAAATCTGCACACTGCAAGGAAGAGTAGCCCCTGCTCGCCGCAACTAGAGAAAGCCCGCGCGCAGCAACAAAGACCCAACGCAGCCAAAATAAATAAATAAAGGGAGAGGAAGTAGGCCCTCAGCTGAAGAGTGTTACATGGCACCGGCTGGTGTGACACCCACATGCGCCAGAGGATCACACTTGACCAGCACCTCGCTCAGCCTCGCAGGGACCGTGGCATCCCCTGCTGGTTCCCACTTCCTGTCCCCGTATGCAGGCCACGTCCCCAGTTCGGGGAGACAACAGCAGCCTTGTCAGCTAAGGGTTCCTATTTTTGACAGTATGGGACTGTGTGTGTTTTGTAAAGTTTGCGTCCTCTATGGAAGACTTAGGGAATTTCCAGAAGATCACTGTTCACTGAAGCTGTGTGATGGTGGATCCCATGAAGGGTTGGAAGAAGAAAGGGTTAAAAAGCCAAAGCAGCTTCATCTCCAGCTCCTATCCTTCACCAGCCCCAAATTAGTCAGTGGTGGCTTTGTGGTCTCCTCCCCTCCCAGGCTCCATGCCTTGTCAGCTGACTTTCTGAACGCCCTGTTTACCATCCTACAGCCTCCCTCCCTGGCTGAATTATTCTGATGGTGGCTGTCTTGGGTGCCACCTCTGCTGGCATTTAGATTACGGATTTTATTAACTGAAATGAGGGTTTTTATTTTTAAATAAGTGCACTAGCCGTAGGATAAAGGGCACATTGTTTATTTCTTTTTCTCTTTTAAGCGTAATTACTGACTTTTCAAATGCTGGGGGCTACTTCTGAGTATGTACCCTGAAGAATTGAAAGGAGGGTCTCAAGATATTTGCACACCTATGTTCCTAGTAACATTATTCACAGTATCCAAAAGGTAGATGCAACCTGAATGTCTGTGGATAAACAAAATTGGTATAGCCATACAATTGAATGTTATTCAGCCTTAAATGGAAGGAAATTCCCACATGGGGTCCAACCATGTAGATGAACCTTGAGGACATTATGCTAAGTGAAACGAGCCAGTAGCAAAAAGACAAATACTGTATGATTCCACTTATATGAGGCACCTAGAGCAGTCCAGCTCAGAGAGACAGAAAGTGGAGTGGTGGTTGCCAGGGGCTGGGAGAGGGGGAGTTGTTTCCTGGATAGAGTTTCAGTTTGGCTGGATGAAAACAGTCCTGGAGATGGGTTGTACAACCACGCGGATGTACTTACACTACTCAACTGTACATTTTAAAATTAGTTCAGATGGTAAGTTTTATGTTATTTCTATTTTACTACACTTGTTTAAAAAACTGCTGAGGGCTAGTGACCTTTAAAGAACCTCCCCAGAAGCTGCTGACCTCCAAGTTCTTTTTTTTTTAAAATTTATTTATTTTATCTATTTATTTTTGGCTGCATTGGGTCTTGGTTGCTGCGCGTGGGCTTTCTCTAGTTGCGGCGAGCGGGGGCTACTCTTCGTTGTGATGCGCAGGCTTCTCATTGTGGTCGCTTCTCTTGTTGCGGAGCATGGGCCCTAGGCCCGCGGGGTTCAGTAGTTGTGGCATGCGGGCTCAGTAGTTGTGGCTCGCGGGCTCTAGAGCGCAGGCTCAGTAGTTGTAGCGTACGGGCTTAGTTGTTCAAACCCATGTCCCCTGCATTGGCAGGCAGATTCTTAACCACTGTGCCGCCAGGGAAGCCCTCCAAGTTCTTTTTTGAGACAATTGAATCTCCAGCTCTTAGGTTCAACTCCAGTGGGGTCAGTTCCCTACTCTGTGGTGAACAAACCAACAAAAAAAGCCAACGTGGTATTAAGGAGTTTGGGATTAGCAGATATAAACTCTTATATATAAAATAGATTAAAAAGGTCCTACTATATAGCACAAGGAACTGTATTCAATATCCTGTGATAAACCATAATGGAAAAGAATATATATATATGTACGTATGTATGTGTGTGTGTGTGTGTGTGTGTGTATATATATGTAACTGAATCACTTTGCTGTATACCAGAAACTAACACACTATTATAAATCAACTATACTTCAATAAAAATAAAGAAATGATGGACTTCCCTGGTGGTCCAGTGGTTAAGATTCCACCCTTCCACTGCAGGGGGCGTGGGTTTGATCCCTGGTCAGGGAAGTTCCACATGCCGGTGCAGTAAAGTGCCAGGCTGTGAGAACTAAGAAACAGAAAAACGGTCCCATCTCTGAAGCCAGGACGTCCTCCCTCAAGGAGAGGGCTCCGTTGTTCTCCATTTGTAGCCCACTGGGCTCATAGGCACACAGCCCTTCATGGTACAGGTGAGGCCTGAACGGCGAGGGGCCGGGGGCAGGCACAGAGGGTGAGGTGCACAGGGCCACCCGGCTGGTTGATAGCAGAGCCTAACGTACAGCGCCGTTCTGTGTGCTTTGCTGTCCATGCCTCCCCCTGGGAAACGTGAGCTCTGAGCTTTTGTCCTGCTGGTGATGAGGGGCAGGGCTGTCAGCCTCAGTAATACTGCCTCTCAGAAGAGGAGAGCAAGACTGGGCGGCCGCCTAGACAGGCCCGAGTCTGACTGCGACAACTCAGCAAGGAAGCAGAGTTCACCTTGGGTATCTCTCACCCTCCTCTGCTCTCCAGCAGCCCGGGTCATCCTCAGCACTGGAGCCCAGTCTTATTAACTCACATCAGAGCTCAGCTGCAAACCGGTCCCTCTCCTGGCTCCAAGGGTTAACAGAGAGGCAGTGCTCAACGTCAAGAAATGAATCTCAGCTGTTGGAATGTCACTCAGCAGAGCCATTAAGTGAGGGACGTATTTCAGGGCTATTGATAAGCAAGGGCATTC